CCTTTTTTTCAGTGACCCATGTTGACTTTGGTACCACCTCCTGGGTTAGGCAGGAAGACATGCTGAGTGAGCTCTCTGCTGGCTGGATCCAGACCCAGCCTCTTACACAATGCAGGCTGCCTGGCTTGCAGCAGGCCAGCCCCTCCTCTCCAATAACCCACTTCCCATTCTTGATCAAACCTGGGGATTGTAGTGTAAGGGTGGAGATGAGAAAGATGGGAGGAGGTGTGTGTCTGTGTGTGTGGTGGTGGTGGTGGAGAAGGGGGTGCACATCCTGCGTGAAACCGCATCCTGAACAAGCATCGCTGCATCTCACTGTAAATAAATACTCTCTCCTCCGCGCAGCTTCCGTCAACTGTCACCGCCTTGGCTCCCAATCACCTTCAAGTCCAAACAGGAAAGTGCAGGGAGGCGAGGGAGATGGCAGATATGAGCTTTAATTTGCTTCTCGCTGCACTTTAGCCCGGGTGCGCACTACTTCCTATACTCCTGCTCTGACCAGCTGCCCCGGCTTCGTTCCAGACCCTGAGTCCTTCCTGTCACCTTTCATTACCACATTATCCAGGAGGAGGCTCCCTGTGTAGCTGGGAAATCACCATTTGGTGGGACACCCACCCCCCGCCTCATTTATGTTGTATTGTGTGAGACATTCAAAGACACGCGCAACATCCTCAGAGGAGTGCTGCTGCCTTGTTACCTGCTAATCCCCTGTGCATTATAACAGGAGATGCAACTGAACAACGGAGCATGACGAAGGTAACAACTGAGACATGACAAGCTCGCAGTCCATGAATCGCTGTGGATTTCGAGACTGGTGCAGTGTGCAAACATTCATTTTTTGATTAACTATTGAAGGTCTTTCTTGATACGATTACAAACCACCAGGCCTGTTACATAATCAAATATTTCTGATCGGGGACACAGCAGGAACAGGAACGCCCGATGAATTAAATGAACGACAGAAACTCACAGGATAGCAGCTCCCCTTACTGTTTATACGGTTGCCCGAAAGGTGGTCCTATTTCAAGAGCGAGAGCATCCAGGGCCGCAATCCTCCAGCACTTCTTGCATTGTTTTATTACACTTGAATGAGCTGAGCTGAAAATGGCATGCAGCTGCTGACTGCAGCGCATCAGTTTTTGGCCTGGGCTTAGCTTTGCCCACCGGGCTAGAAAAAAAATCACTCAGAAACTGATCTGTCAAAATAAGACTATATGCTACAGCCAGGATGCTTTTATCTCTATGAAAATGTAATGAAAATTGTACATTTAGAGGACACCAAACAGAGCATTAGGTATTTTAGAAAACTGCATCAAATTCTTTCAATGATAAAGTCTGCTGGAATTAAGATCAGGACATTTTCTTTAAATCTGAACCCAAGACCTCTACAGAAGCTTTAAAACAGCAGCAGTATTCAGTAAAAGCAGCTGACACTTCAACAGTAATGACAATGTTTGCCCAAAGGATGGAATGGTAGATTGCTTCTGTCCAAAACTATTAAAATAATGATCTAAGTGAAAAAGAATTAACAAATTAGGACTACGTTAATAAATCGGACGCTACGCAGCAGCACATGTTGCAACAGTAAGTCGTCACTGTTTAAAACAGCAATATTTTCCAACCAAATTGGCAGTTGAAGATAGGAGCTTCATGCAAACTCTTTCATGGGAATGTTTTACAAAAGAAAAAAATGCACAAAGCAGGCGGCAGTTATTAAGCCACATATTTACTGCCATCTGCGCGTAGTCTACTATTTTGCATCCGATCAGAAATCAGCTGAATGCGGTTAGGCATGCCACAAATATATTCAGCCTCTCCTTCTCCTCCGAATGTTGTGCATAGCTGTTACACTTGTGCTAAGCTGTGCCATCTTCAGCAGACAGTTATAGGCGCCTTCCTCTTTGCCTGAGGAGAAGGCTCACTGGCCAGACACATTACTTTAAAGGGCAGCATTTCAATGAACACGTCTCAACCTGCCCAGGGGAAGTGTGAGTGTCTGTGCGTTTGGGTGTGTTTATGTTTTATCCTTAGGACCCCCAATTGTTGTTCATTTGCTGTGCAAAGACAAAATAAGCACATAAAGGCCAAAATGTGCTCTTCCCTGGCCTTCACCCACATCACAGCACTTTTCCGCACAAGTGGCTAACCAGAGATAATTATACAATTAAAACAATTTTCCGCATCTATCTGTCAGTCTGATCTAATTCACCATTCGAATGACACTAATGGCGTAAGCCTCTTCTGTCTCCTTCTCCGAGCAAAGCCTTTTTCTCTTTATCGCAAAACACACCAAAGCCATCTGTAACAGAGGAAAACAGGAATGGCTTTCTCTGATGTTTAGCAGGATGTTAGCGAATAAAGTTAAGACCAGCAGCTTTTCAGCACGATCCATACGGCAGCAAGGAAACGGGAAGGTTCATTTGATTGTTGGTGTAAATTAACCCTTGGTTGCAGGAATACAAAGAAACAGAGTGACTCTCATATTTTCTGAGACAACACTCCCTTCAACCAGCGCTGATATTAATAATTCATCATGACAAAATACATTACCAGAGAAAGCTGAACGTGAAAAGAAGAGTCAACTGTGACAGGAAACCAGTCACATTAAAGCTGGGCTCTGACACTCAGCAGCAGAACGTGAAAAAATAAACTGTAATCTTTCATTGTTCGAAGGAACAGGAAGATGAATTCCCATTTCAATAATAACATTATGTAGTTGATCGAGTGGCCGATCTGCAGGGAGGTATAGCCTTAGATTGTGCCTTTAGGACAGACCTACACAGGGTGTGAACAACAAGGGAGGATTTAGCCAAACCTTGACCTGGATATCCTGCATCTCGGTCCACCCTGTGAGGACAAGGAACACAGATATGAACTACTCCTACACAAGTTCAAGGGAAATGCTCACATGGTGCTGCTCTGTTCTTCTCAGCTAGCTCCACCAATACAATGGCAGCAGCGAGTTTTATGTTTATGAGCAGTCCTGATGGGGATACGCATATCCATTATCCATTAGATATGAGTCTGCCTGTAGTGGGGGTCTGGTATTAACCCACAAGCAAGTGCCCCATCAGCAGAGAGGAAAAAACTGCCTTTTATGGCAACGGATAGCAGACTCAAGCCATTGGCCACAAAGCCCACAAATGAGGCGTTAAGTGTAGTGGCAGGCCAGTAGAGAAAGAGGAGCAGAGAGATATGACCCTTTTCTCATCCATGCATGAATCTGCCCTCTGCCTCTCTTTCTCGCTCTGTGCCAGTCGTCTAAGAAAAGAACACATCCAACCATGCTTAACTACCCAACAACGCTCACGACTAAATAACAACTGTCACCTGCAGCAGTATTCACCACAACGCTGGTAATGTTACCGCCGTGTAACGTAATCTTTCTAATTGAATATTAATTTTTATACAATATTTGGAGAGATTCCTAACTGACATTTTCTGCAATTAATTGCCAGATAGAGGCAGGTCTAGTGCAGCAAAGTTAAAAAAATACAACCTGACATGGAGATTGGGAAACAGAGTGCAGCGAAGGGGCCTGCTGGGATGGTTTCATCATCGTGCCTGACCCCCCCTGCTGCTGGGAATGGCAGGAGATGGGGGGAGCAGGAGGAGATAGACTCCTCTTCACAGTCAGAGATTTAATTGCACGCAGATTCCATTACCTCTGCACAAATGTCACATTCTCTTCTGATCAGGGGGCACGGCAGCCACTGGCAGTATGGCTGGCAAGCAGCCAGACTATAGTGCAGAAAGTGTTCAGCCAATCAGGGCTCCCGGGGCAGACAGAGGTGAGAAGAGGGATGGAAAGACTACTTCACACCAAAGATATTAAAAAACAAAGGAGAGTCACAAACAGAAAGCAGCAGAGGGTGCAACGTTTAAACGGCGCGTGACGTGCTGCATTAACAGATATTAAACAATTTATTGATTTTAGACTGTTGTTATAATGGGGCACTAAAAACTTCTGGACATAACATTCACGAAAACAAAAAGCATGGATTTTTCTGGAAGAAGAAAAGGCTTTTTTTAAATATATATTAAAGCAGTCATTTGTGTTATTCTTTCAGACTAGCAGAGAAACAGCTAATTTTATTATCTCTAACAAAATGCAAACAATTCCCATTATCAAGTTCTGATGCTCAAGGACGTGTCATGTTTTGTCTGACCAGCAATCCAAAACCCAAAGATACAAAGATTTAAGCTACTTTCACAGAAGACTCTGAAAACCAGCAAATATTTAGGAAGCTGTGAATTTTTATGCTTTTATACTCTTTCTGAATTCATCCAAAAATCAGGTGTCAACTATTATTATTCAGTTAATCACCTCACTGTTTCAAGAAGATAATATAAGGACATTTTAAATGGTTGTAATGGCCAGAACAGCTAGAATTACAACTTCACCCTCAAAATGTTACCCAAATCATGGTTAAACTTTTGTATTATTATCCTTCATACTTGAATCGAACAATATCATATCATTGTTTTAAGAGTTTCCATTTAAAAGGTCTGAATTGGGACCTCCAGGAATAGGGGGTAGTGAAGTACCCCTGATTGACTGTCCTGATTCTCCATCTGGGAAAACAGCCACTTACAAGAGCAGCCTTTTTTAAACTGCTGGCAAAATCTGGACAAGTGGGGCAGCAGTTTAGAAGCCTGGGACCAGTCCTCACAGATGCAGAGCTGAAGTTTATTTATTTAAAATAATTGCAATAATGGTCACTAAAATTAGATATTTTCCCCAAAACAGTAAACTCTCTCCGGGACTATTTGTGTCTCTATTATTCACATCTGTGCTTAGTAGCCAGTGAAGCCTAACAGTGAAACTGCTAAAAAACTGACGATATTCTGTTGGGATGTGTTTCAAACAAATTATGGCTTGAAACACGTAAGCCGAAAAGTCACATCTTACAGTGCTTTGAAGACACTTCACAGACAAACAGCAGGCACATTACTGTATGCAGTAAGAGAAGAGTTATAGTGGGAGGACTCACACATACCCTGATCACTGGTGCAGGGTCGACTGGCACGCCATTCCTCCAATCAGACTTCAGCTTACAGTCTTGAGGGCAGGACCACGGGGGTTTCACACAGAGGACACAAACAGAGAGAGAGAGAGAGAAAAGGAAGGGGAAAGATACAAAGATTACAAACAGGAAGTGAAAGGTGGGGAAAGCCCCTACCCCGGTCCGCGAAGCCCACGCGTACAGAAATGACATAAGGAATGTCAAAAGTAAACGTGATGGTCTTCAGCCACAGGTATTTGTTAAGTTATGACACACTGATTCCTGTTGGCATCTCTTGGCCTATATGCATACCAAGTTATCTTCCTTTCATATCAGAACATGCACATAAGAAACTATGACAGGTACACAATGAAAAATATCAAAAGTGTTTGTATCTGTGGTTTATGTCTCACCCTAAACCAGTAAAGATGTTACAATATTCCCTTTGAGTAGTTGCAATATCAACATAACAATACGCTGAATTGATTTTATACAGCGTGTACTTTATAATATGTAAATGTAAAAAAGAGAAACAGCAAAGAACATGACCAAATCACACAACAAAATAAGCAAGGTGACACAAAAGGATAATTAAGGTTGTGTAATAGGCATTAATCACCGTCGTGATATGACAAGAAAAATGCCACAACTCTGAGTGGTTTGATGAGTGTAAAACAGAAACATGAGTAACATATTTTATATTACTGTATAGTCTTTGACATAAATGTCACAGCACTTGTACATTCCAAAATAGCTTGTAACACGACACGCATGTAGTTTATTTAAAAACCTGTTTAGCTCAAAAGCATTCATCTGTAGCCAGATAAACAAGTGGAAAGAGGCTAATGACTTCCATATACAACTCAGATCATGCAAATGAGGCTGCATAACAGATTACATCTGGTTTTGTCCCTGTCACAGGAGTCACGGCTGCATGTGTGGCTTGTTGGCCCGTGATATATGTGTGTACATGTTTGCTGTTTAATGTGGCTGTGTCTCTAGCAACACAGCAAAGCAGTGCAGCTCCCAGTTAATTGGCCTGCTCTATGAGAAAGCGTGTTAAAAACCAAATCTATAACTCTGTGTGTGGAGCGGTGTAGCTTTCCAACCAGACACAACAAACCACAGCCCAAACGTCCCAGCTCCTCATAATTCACCAGTATGGAATTCAACTAACCCCATTAGTGCGACTGCTGTTTCCACAGGCCATCCACATTCCTGGGCCTACCATTGGCCCAAGATAAGACCCTTCTGATTACTCTCTTGCATGCCTGTCATTACTCACAAAAAAATGTTGATCCCAACAGACAGCCCCCCTCATGGATTGATGGCTCCTCTATTGTGTCCCCATGCCCTTCAATTGAAGCACTTGCTTTCAGACGGTCCCCTAACTTCAAGTTTGACGACAGAGGGCAGTCTGTGACTTCGGCCAAGGATTGCTGCCAAGTTTGCCACATCAAAAGTACAGCACTCAGACTTCATGAGAAGATCCAAATATGATGGGATTTACGCGCTGTATCACAAATAGACTGGGATTTCATGAGCTCTCAAGCGCTCTTATGATTTGATGTTTAAAAAACTATTTGGCCAATAGCTAATAATGATATTTTCCAGTCTTTTTATTTTGTATCTATTTAGTTATCTCTTTGTTCCTGGTAAACAAGGACATCTCCTTTTCGAGAAATAACATACTACTCGACCACAATATCCTGGTAATTTCTGGTTATTTATCTATATGCTAATACTAGTCAGCAGTGCCAAAACTGACCTAAATTCATAATCATACTATATATCAGTGCATCCATACATCATACAAAAATATCAGAAATAGCTTTCTATGAATGTAACTGAGTAAGCAACTTTATGAGTAAACAACTAAAAGTTATATTTCATCCTCCTCTAGACGTACACTCAAGCTTGCTCTGTCACCCAGGACTATTTAAATCTTCCGACTGGGCAGAGGCCCATGTGTGAACATCACTGCTGCCTTGAATGTGTACTGTGTAAAGTCTGAAATTCAAGGGAAGGGTTCAGTAAGATACATTCAAAGTGAGATGGCTCTCTGGTTTAGTGTAACTTAAAATCAGCTAGAGTCAAGTCACCGACTGGGCCGCAGAGCAGAGACTGGGACACTGGCGGTGAATCGGATCAATGGCCTGACCCATTAAGTCACAGCACTCCCAGCACCTCATTTAATAAGAGGCAATCTTTGGGAACACCCCTAGCTGACCCATGCTACCGGGGACCATTACAAGAGAGTGGTGTTTCAGGACCAACGCCCACTTGACCCGGTAGCGTAAAGACACCGAGGAGATCCACATGATTTAAACTCCTCCCTAAGACGTGCTGACAAGGTTACAAGGTCAACACAGACATTAACAGGTCAGTGTGTGGCCCACTTGGGAACAATTACTCCCAGTCACAGCTAAGTGGACACTTGATTGAACACGACGGAGGCAGGACACACTTCCCACAGATAACAATCCCCAGAGCCATTTAGGATAAAAAGCCCTTGTGATACAGCCTTTATGGACAAAATTCATCTTCCTTTTCCCTTTTAAAAGAATGTGAGAGTGTGATAGAGAGCCATTCTCTGGAAGAGATGAGTCTCTCAAAGCATTACCATTTTCTAGCAATACTAATAGCTGCTTATGACAAAGAAACAATTACAAGGTGACTGGGATTAAAAGCTAAACAATGTTAAGTTTTCATTTTTCTTGCCACACTCAGAATGCCCAAATTTATAAGAGCAGCAAATGAGACCAAAAGTAAAAGGGCTTAAGATGCTGACATAGATTTACTATTTCCTGAAAAATATCTCTAATTAACTATGTGAGTGTGCAGTTTGTTATGATATTCAACCTTTAGCCCACTAAAAGTTTGACTCCTTTCTCACCACAGTGACTAAAACTTTGCTTCAACTTTAGTTCAAACATCTGGTATGTTACGAGTACACACACTAGCAAATACACTAATAATGTGCAGCTTTGACATATACTGTAACGGAGAAAAAAACACATATTCTGAGGTATCACTTGCAAATAAAATAGCGCACACAGGTTATGTGGATTTCTGGTAAAATGGTCACTCTTGTCCTATAGTCTCTTTGCACACAAATAGGGCTTATCGATTCCCGAACACATTTCCCCGCATTTGCATAAGCTGTGTGTTGTTTGTGGTATTGTTTCTTTTTTTCCACAGGGTTTGTTTATTTATTTCTCTATGTTAGAAAATCGGTTCCACATTGTCCCTCGATCTGCAGCAGCGGCTGGCGCTGCAGCTGTTAGTTGTTAGTGACTGGAGATGACACAGTTCACCACTTCTCCAAAAAGCCAGCGAGCCTGGAGACCCGCACAGCTGCAGAGTGAGAGGAGAGGAGAGGAGAGGAGAGGAGAGGAGA